CGGGGGGATAAGAAGGGGGAGGAGGTTACGTCTATCGATTGATTGTCATCGCATTACACGTGCATGCATGCGAAATAAGAAATGACGATGGACAGTGAGAAGGATCGGGAGGGAGGTGGTGCATTGCTGGTATAAATCGCCACCGCACCTTGATAATGTCAGGGGCCTGCGTGTGATGAATGCTCGGGCGAGGAAAAAGCCGCGCTTCCGCAGCCAAAATGAAAGTCGAGCTCAGGGCTCCATAAAGTACAGCTCGTACGAGCCCGTTAGCGGACTCGTCGGACGTGAGCTCGAGAAGTGTACAGGACGCCCCCCCCCCCATCGCTCTCTCTTTCTCTCTTTCGTTCGTATACGTGCATGTGCAGACGCACCCAGCATGACTAAAGGGCGATTGCGATATTAGTCCCGGAGCTGTGTACGGGTTCGATCGAGGCCCGCGATTATGCATCCTTTCACGTGTTTTTAGCCGCCCCGCGCGAAAAGTGCTTTTACATAATCTGCCAATTATGAAGGCTCTTATTACATTTTTTTTCTCCATTGCCTGGCAGCCATTGTGCCGAATTGAATGGAGGCACAAATTATTTCAAACAATTTTGGAAGCTAATGATTTTTACGATGCCTTGGTATTTTCGAAATACGCTCCATAATGCTCGTTCGATATCCGTTCGCGTTACATTTTAGCCCAGTGAATTTCCATGGGAATTCAATGAATTTCAAAATTTAACGCATCTTCAATATATTTTTCTATTTACCATTAAATTTTCAACTCAATATTATAATACTAATAATGTGTCTGTCATTATTTCAATTCCAGCGATTAAATTTTTTGGTAGAAAAATAACGTTTTTTTTCTTTTATCGAACACACACGTACAAACGGAGTAATTTTTGCATGATTTTCTTTAAGATTTTCAAAATTCTGTGCAAAGACAAGAAATACGCATGTGTAATAAATTATGAAGTAACCGTGATCATAGATTTCTTAAACTGAATAAACGATAAAATAATTACAAATGGATTACCATGGATTGAATTTTTAATATTTATATTTATCCTATCGTTAATTAGTCGATACCATTGTTATTTCATTATTGATCCATCGTTAATGTTAGTTGATAAATTCAAAGCTTCTCATAAAATTTTATAGCATTTAACAGGAAAATAATTATTAGGATGGATGATATTTTAAATTACTTTCCATAATTAATGGACAGACTCCAATGATAATATTTTAATTTGAAATCGTTATTTTTGCAAACGTTGCAAAAGCAATGAAAACGTTTTAATAAACAATTGATTTTATCTCGCAAAATTTTTATAATTATATATAACTTTCAATGCAATAATATATAATGATAATAATCTGCTACTTCCTAGGTAAAAAATATTTTTCGCAAAAAAGTCTTCATTTAGAATGTAGTTAGACTTAGAGCACTTAGAGTGCTTAGAGCATTTCTTAGCTTTTTCTATTTCACACGAGGGTGAAACTAGACTTTCTTTTATAAATTTAGTATATAAAATTGATGTGTTTATGAAGTAAAGATACAAATCAGAAAATGTATGTGCGTATGTATAATATGAATAAAATATGTATTTTCCATATAGATTTTTCATATGTATAAATATAATTAATTGTATAAAATATGTATAAACTACAAAAAAAATCCATTATGATTGTATTACATTTCAAAGATAATATATACAAACTATTAATTTTCATCAGGTTAATACGTGCTACAAAAATTGATATTACGTACTAATAACACAACTAAAGATGTGATTTCACAAAATGGCAATACGATAAGAAGGTTGGAATGTGGTAAGTACAAAATAGATAGAAACCTTGAAACATGCAAAGTAATAAATAGTTTGATAAATCACTATTGTTGAGCAATAACAAAAACAAAAAAAAAAAAAAAAAAAAAAAAAAAAAAAAAAACTAGAAAACTTTATTCATAAAAATACACGGGAATCTTTTGAAGTATAAAATTGAAAAAAGATCAAGATTGAAAATCGCATTGAAAAAAGGTTTCGAACTGCAAGAATCGAGGGGGATTATAACCGTGCAGGCGTTAATGACCGAATTGTTGAATGCGAATGACAAATTTATAGATGCCCTGGCCGCGATTACGAGGCGCGCGTTTGCGCCACCGATTCGACTTAATTTACCGTTAAATCGGACAAAGGGACAAAGCGAAAGAGAGTGAGCAAGTGGGTGAAAGAGAGAGAGAGAGAGAGAGAGAGAGAGAAGGAGTGTGTGAGCGCCCGCCTGTGTGAGTGGGCGTGAGAAAGAGTGAGGAGGGAAGGAGGCAGGAGGGAAATGGTGAGCGAGACCGTTTTTTGTCCCGTTTGCCAATATCGCTCAACGCGATGCGGGCCGCGTTGTAAACTCTTCATTTTCTCAATTTTACTCGTTCCTTTTGTTTTTCTTTTTTTCTCTATCTCTCTCTCTTTTTTTTATCTGAGCATTTTAATTCAGCGGGGTAGTTTTTTTTATCATTTTCGTGTATGCTTTGTAATGTAGGCGAAATACAGCAAAATTGAAGCGTTTTAAAGATTCTTTTGAACGTTATTGACTTTGTTTTACGTTTCTCTTTTAGTGAAATTAATCAAAGGGCACTTTACCTTTCACTATTCTGAAAACTATCTCTGAAATTATGGATTGTACAATTTTTAAAAAATTGTATGCATAAATAATTTATTTTATAAGCTTATTTTTTAATAGTGATAATTTTTCCAGTTTAAGGATATTATCAATTTCATCAATTGGATTCCATCAATAAAATTAACATTCTGAAACGACTTTATGCTTTATATACATTGGAATTTTTCTATGCGCACTGAATGAAATGCTAGACAATATATACGCCAACGAACGTCCTAATTAAACTTGAACAGAATCATTTACACACCGATATTCTCTTGACTAATCCATATCCATGGCATGTAATTGTATATCCATATACTCTGATATTTATACAGTGCACTTACTACACAAATAAACGATGCCTCTTGTTTCGATAGACAATGTTACCTATCGTAATTTCAATCGGAAAAATAAGCAAAATACTTGTTTTGCATAAGCTTTATGATGACTTTCTGAATTGAAATCATTTCAGTTTTATTTTCATTATCATCATCATGATAATAATTAATGCATGGTTTAATTTTATTTTAATGTCAACGGAATAATTGAGTCGATTATTAGTAAGTAAATTATTTGTAAATAAGTAAAAAAGCAGTTTCTTCGTATGTTCTAAATAACAAATTCTGTATTCTATTAATAGATAGCGCATTAATTTGATAAAAATGAATATATGACGGCTTCAGATATAAAATTCAAGGACATGACAATTACACACGAATCCATAAAGTCCGGAAGGAAAGAAGTCGATCCTTTAGATGCTCTTTGAGCTCGTGAAAAGTAAACTTTCATAAAAATTAAATTTATTGTTTTCCATCGCCTGCTTGTAATACAACACGTGCACAAGTCGGCTACGCTTTTCAAAATATATAAACAATTAGTAGATTTTAAAGAAAACTGCAAAAGACTGTTAACTTTGAACCAATGATCTTTGTGTAGTGAAATTGTGTTAACTTAGTTGAATTTCTCTTACCTCACCCCCCTCGTATTTGAAAATTCAAAAACAAAATATCCTTTCTGTATTATTAAATCAAAAGCAAATTATCTTTTTTTACAGTCACAATCATATGATTGTGAAATTATATGATGTTAATTTATGACAATTGAATTAAATGTGTCTGATATAATTGATTCATGTTTTGAATTTTCAATAATCAATTTATGAAATAATAATAATAATAATAATAATAATAATAGTAAATACTAACATCTAAAAAACATTGTGTGTTTATAGAGAAACTGTAATTTTAATCAAATTGTAAACAATTTGCCTGTAAAATTATAATCATAATTATAATAAATATATTTTATTATTATTATTATATGTGGAATTGCAATTGCATTAGCATTCTTGAAATACTTAACTTTTCATACTTTCATCGACATTGTATTTTCAAACGTAAGTGTAATTCTAATCTAATACAATAATTAACCCATTATATAAGTATATGAGCATTAACTTTTATTACCCCATATAAGTATTAACATTTATTAATAGGTATAAAAATTAATTTTATTATGATTTTATATATGTAAGTATCTATTGGATTGAATACTATATAAAAAATGCTTTTTATTTATAAGATAGGAATAAACAATAATTGCTTATTTTATTTTTCGAGATATGTAAAGTATGTTTTCAATACATTTAAAATGTATGTTTCTTTTTTACAAAACTAATTAATTATTAAAATCAATGTAATTGGTTATTTAGACGCTTCGCGAAGAAATTATATGAAATAGTTTGATTAAAAAAAATAATAAAAAAAAAAAATTGGAATAAGCTTTTATAATAACAAGTTTTCTAATTACGAGATTTTTTATTACAAAAGAGTATGAATTATTCAATCAATAAAAATAGCGAAAAATAAAAAAATAAAAAAGCACTTGATGGTCATAAATAATGATTATGTAAATAATATGTTTAGCCACGTATAAGCTATCTTAAATAGCCAAAGACTTTTTATTTCCGTATACTCGAAATTACCAAAAAAGTCATAAAGCGGCGGTTATTTAAAAAAACTTTCTTTCTACCGCCTTGTAAAGGACAAAAGGAAGGGGTAGCAAACGGCAAAATGCTCGAGCCAATCTACTTTTTGCAGTCCAGCATCGGCATTCGTCTTTTCGGTGACTACCGCGCGACGTATTAACGAGAAGACTCATCAGGGACAACCGCACCGAGTCGTCTCCCGGAACCACGATTCAGCACAGGACGGGCTAATGGCACTGAAAGTGGCCGCGAAGAGGTAACAAGGATGTGGGCGTGGGCGAACCGAAGAGGCCACGAGTGCAGCGCGTAACGATGCCGGGGACAATTAGCATTGTGCGCATGCGGGGCGTGCGGCAAACGAACTTACGATGATGATGTCGAGGTCGTCGGTGAGGTGATCCGGAAGTACGCGCTTGCTGACTTCCTCTTCCGGCATTCCGTCGAACCTGTCGTGCTTCTTCCTCTCTTTGTATGTCTTGGCTCGCTTCTTAGCCTCTGCCAGCTCGGCTCTGCAAATAATAAACACGGCGTTATATTGCGATCGATCACTGCGAAACGGCTAATCAATGTTGCCCTAACGCTCGTCGGGCCAATCATCCTGCGAAGTATGGCTCACTTTTAAAAGTGCATTATCTCATTATTATCGAGGGGCTTTGACAATTGGCAGTCGTGTTTATTTTCGCACTAGTTTTGAAGTTTGCGCTTGAATTCTAATGCCGAACGAGCTACTGCCATTTGGACGTCGATATTTCCCGTTACGTAATGCAAGTCCTCAATGATGAACAATAATAATTACATTGAAATGGAGGATTATAACATGACGAACATATTGAAGATGTTTCGTAGGAAAAATTATTAAGATAGCATTTACAAGTGTAATTAAATATAATGTGCATTAAATTATCCGGAGATTGTAATTTCTCGTTATTTTAATTGACTGGTATGATTAAAGGCAACTTGTTTATTCAACTATCAACTTAATTTTTAATAATTTTACCATTTAAATGCAATAACCCCTTTCTAAATAACATTATAATTAGTTTTCCAAAATAGAGTATAATGCAAAAAATTTTATTTAAAGCAAACTCAAAAACTGTTTGCTATGAAATTTTTTACAAATATACAATAATGCAGCAACATCTACACATTAAAATATCATATATATATATATATATATATATATATAATACGATTAGGCAGTTTCAATGGTTTCGTTACTAAATGAATAAGAATGAATTACAATTTTGCTGTACAAATCAACAATTTTGAATGAAAATCGTGTTTTTTTAACAAATTCAATTGAACACATTTCTTTGAATCTACATTTTACATGTTAAAAGTAAGTTATTCAAGCTCTTATATTATAACTCAATATGAAATTGATGGTTGATTCTTTTCAAATTAAATGTATATGATGATTGTAGTGACAAAGACCCCTTTTCTCACTTTCTTAATTATAATGATAATAAGTCAATTATTAACGTATCGACGTAAAACCTAATAACATAAATTAAAATCAAGATTTTCATTATTTTATTTTTATTTAATATATTTTTTAGATGTTTCTATAGCGTTTTCTGAAAAAACAACGGGGATTTTTTGGGTCACTTCTTATCCAGACTATCTACGACTATCTAAGACTCTAGATCTTATCTATTCAGAATTACAAGCTTTTATGGATATTTTCTAAACAAAATCGATCTTACACAGAAATAGAAGTAGTTGAATAATGTCATAAATTGTCACATCATTGTTTAAATAAATTTTACTCTGCCATTATTGTGGATTACATTAAGGTTAAAGAATTCAACATGTTATAATTGAATATTTAATGTGTTGTAACTACAGAACTCATAAATGAATCACATTTGTATGTATTTATAAAAATTGTCTATAACGTGAAATATTCAGTAATGGGTTTATTATTTATCTTAAAATTTTATTTTTCATTTTTCGTTTCATTTAACATGTAATAAGTATGCATTATTAAACCCGCGAATAGTTGAATGCAAAATTTTATGGTAGTTTGTCAAATTTTCTTAAAGCTTTTATTATTTTTATCTCATTAATGTACTTATGCATTCTATGAATATTCTATCAATATCTTTACTTTTACTTTGCACATTTTAAAGTCATGCGAAGAAGAAGTACTTTTCGACTAAAATATTTTTAGTCTAAAAAGCATTACGTATTAAGTATTAATTTGAAAATTCTATAAAAAAAAGTTTGTTCATCTCAATTCATTATTATTACCACAACGTATAATGAATTATACGTGTTAGTTGCTTGAGCAATAAAAACTGTGAAAAATGTATAGACAAATGTTATAACAGGTGTTATCTGTTGAAAATGAGTTATAAACATTCGTCGAGTATTTCAACAAGTGTTGCTTTGTCGTATTTTTTTGCTAAACAAGATGTAAGAAAACATATAATTTCATATAATTAAGAATATGAAACTCTATGCTAATAAAAGTGTAAATGTTTTTTTTTATCATTTTCAAAGTTTAAATTTCAGTGTTTGTAAATATAACATTATAAATAAAATATTTTTAAAGTTGTTGAATAAATACTCTTAAAATAATATTTAATTGCATTTTTTTTAAATTATTAATAATTAATAACAAATATTGTTTATTGGATAAAATAATTTTAATATCATTAAGTGTACAAAATAAGTAATATCGAAAGTAATAGTGCAGACAGATATAAGTAATAATACAAATAAGTTTCATAGATTTATAAAGTTGTTTTAGTAACCACACTAACATAGCCTTAGTAAAAAAATAGCTTGTATTTTAGTAAAGACAATTTATATTTATTATTAACGTGTCATACAACATATTTATTAAATACTTTCGTTTATATAGTCTTAACATTTGAAGCCTCCATAAAGTTTTACATTAATCGCTGTAATTTGTGTATTCAACATAAACGCAATTCTAGGACTCCTCTATTTTTAATTACCCAGATTATAAAGTGTATTGTTATTGAAATTTATTAGAGTTTAAAATTATTCTATGTAGACCACTAAATATATAACTTCTAAAATACTTAAAAGGTTATATTTAAATACGCTATCTAAGTAAATTGTAGGTTTGTACAGCCAACGAAAAGCCCCTCGTAATTCTTTTTGTAGATATGCATCTGAATCAATACAAAAATTTAAATCTCTTGAAATTTAATAACCATTATATAACAAAAAATTATTTGTAACGCAGTTTTTAAAAAACTTCCCAAACTATTTACTGGCCTGACAAATACGATCATAAGTAAATAGATTTATACGAACAAGGCAAATTCAAACAAGAACCCAAGTTGGAAAATTAACCAAGCAATACCCAAACATATTAATTTATGTCTTTAATATGTAATGGATAATAGCTTTGCATTAACTTGCAATCGATACTCACTCCTCTGGCGTAAGGATCATCTCGCATTTCTTCTTTCTGCCGCGTTTCTTCGGTTGATGCACCAGCTGAGCATTAACAGCGCCATTCATCATCTGCAGATTCATTTGGTGCTGTTGCTGCTGTTGCTGTTGTTGCTGGACCGAACACATAGAGTTGGGTGGCGTGGAGGTAGGCGTGACGAGGCCCGGTTGGGCGCCACCACAAGTCATGCCATCCGGGTTGTCACCAGGGCTACTAGCCGTTCTAATGCCGCTCATCGTCAGCTCCTCGTCGACGAACGAATAAGGATCCACCGGCGTCTCGCACTTTATCGAGACCTGCAGGAGAAGGACAGAACAAACGTCTTAATTATATTAACTATCTTGGATGTAGGGTCGAGAGTCAAACTGACTACGCAGGGTCTTTACATTTTGCGCCCCTTTCGAATTTATTCACACGTACCCGATACTGCGGTCTCTACGACACTCAAATTTTATCAATCCTCTGTTTTGTTGAGTAATGTGGATATAAAAATATATAATAATATATTAATATATATATATACAAATTTAATGTTGTCGTCGGATATTAATTAAGCAAGAAACGCTGGTATAATTAAAGAGGAACTTGCATAATGATAGATGAATTAAGCCAATCTACCGCATCAATTAATTTTAATAATATCCGTTTAAAAATGCTCAAATTTTCTACCCTCTATCATGTAATTATGACATCTTACAAATTCATGGATAGTAGGCTATCTTATAATGAAGCTATTATGAATTATCAATAACAACAAAAAGAACAGAGCTTAGCATTAGCTACTTTAATATTTTTTGCAATTTAATGCTTGCTTTGTATATTTATAATTATAACATATGTTTTCGTTATTAATTATTAATCAACTTTTTTTTCAATTTCTGTGAAAATATCTGAAAAAAATCTTAGCTTTACAATTAAATTATATTTAAATTTTCATTAAATTTGAATAATTTATTGATAAAACACGTCATTACACGGCCTAATGATTGAGATTAGACTTATTAGTAAATTTTACTCTTCGACTATCATTGAAGTTAGTGGAATCATCTGCATTCAAATTTCAGTCAAAGCAAAAAATACGTTAATACCATCAATACAAATAACCATATGATAGTAAAATTTTATATTTCGTTGCCGCTGTATTTATAACCATTATGGGGTAATGCGTAAATTTTATTAAAAATATTAGCAAAAATCTGTTGACGATTTGAACCATACAACGAAGTATATTGAACAAAGAACTGAATAAAAAGATTTATAGTCATTTAATTCAGGATATATGCACCATATTATCATTTTAAATTAAATTAAAAATTACATTAAATTTTCAGAAATAATAAAATTTCATAATAAGATTGAAAATGAAGTGTAATCGATGGTTTTTATTTATTTTCAGAAAAATTCTTATTATACAATATATAGGATTTTAATCAATCAATTAATTCCAGTATTAAACAAAAGTTTCAGCTGCACGTTCTACGAGAGCAAAATATTTTTTTAGGATATTAATATGCGCATGTAGTCATTTTGAACACAATTTAAATTTGACAGACAAGATTTTAATTGTGTTATTATATTTCAGTAGTTTTTTTACAAATAACAAAAAAAGATAACAAAATATGTTGTTCGCGTGTTTATTAATATTGAAATGTATTAGTTTAATATGGCGAAAATATGCCAACAAAGTTTATCAGTCTAATATGCATAAATAAACAATTCCGGAAATATTAGTTTAACTTTTAAATTAGTTTAAAATACTAATAGAATGTCAAATTTAAATATATCTATAATCAAGAAAACGTAAAAAGTAACGTAAAAAAAATGCACGTTCAGTTTAAGCTCATTACTAGTACAAATTGCTGAAAAGGTGATGTGATTCATCTTAAAAAAAGTTATTACCGTCTTGTGCTCGACACAAATGATTATAGAAACTGTTTCAAAGCTTTTGAATTTTCATGAAACATAACATTATTGAGAATGCTAAGAGAAAATGATTCTTAAATTATAGAAAAAACAAAATTATTATATTTAAGACAATGAGTTCAATGGTGTGTTAATATACAATTATATTGTGTAAATGAATAATTGATTGCCGGAATAAAAACTTTCAAATAAGACACACTTAATAAGATATTAATTAATATGTGTTACTTTTCTTTAATTGTTTTTAATTAATACATACTTTAGTAGACCATTTATATTATTAATTGAAATTATTTACAAGGAATATTATAATAAAAATTTTTTAAATCAAAGATCTCCTCATGGGCAATGCATAAAAATTACATCAACTTAATAAATATGCTGCATTCTACAGCGACTAAAATATTTTATTTATTGATTTTACATGTCCTTAATAAAAAAATTATGATATTGAAAATACATATTTATATAAGTATTGCACTTGCAGTAGATAAAAACTAGTTAAGTTTTAATTATATTTCAAATTTGTTATGATGCAGGTTCAAGTTTGGAATTAAAAACATTTTATAAATCATTTTTTTATAGATAATGCCCATCTCGTATTTTTTATATTCAACTTAAGGAATCAATAAATATCTCGATAAACTGCTTTATCAATGCAAAGATACTATCAATACGATAGCCATATTGGTAAAATGGGTGCATTGCTTCCTTATCAAATTAAGACAAGATCGATGTATGCGTGGTAATTGTTTAAGATACTTTGTTGATAGATAAACAGCGAAGTTTTGCAAACGAACTGATAAAATCGAGAAAAGTGGAGAAACAAGACCAAAAAGACACGAAGGATAGCTCAGGCAAGGATAAGTGTTAATATCAAAATAAAGAGGCTAACCAATGGAAATGAAGAGTGCGTTTTATGCCTATTATACTGCGCGCGCGCTAGTTAAAGTGAACAAGGCATGTAAATTTTGGGACGCGTTCGGCGATTCCTGCATCAAAGTGTACAGCGGCTGATGTATGATGGATGATCATAAATTGCGCACCAAGAGCATAAAAACGAGGACCTCGATTCGCTAATTTTTTTGCTATTAGCATTACATGTGCTTATGATTGAACATTAAATGGCGCGATTGCAAGCATCATCCTTTTATAATTTGAATTTAAGTCTGAGTTCAATATTAAACCTAAAGACCGCTCTGTCTTTTATTTTTCTTAAGAAATTATGCAAACGATAATAGCTTCCATTGTGTTCATTATTTTCGTATGGTATTTTTTTTTAAATGAAAATCGTATTTTTTTTTATATGCATATTTAGCCAACGCATTAATATAGACGTTAATAGTATTCTGATACATTATTGGAACTAAGTTTGATGTAACATTTGCTTTATTTTAATTAGTCTATTAACATAAAATTCGGTTGACTAAATAAAAAATTGACCATTTTTTGCAAATATTAAATCTTTTGATAATCGTAGTGTTTTCGTAGTGTTACGATTTAAATTACACTAGTGTATTAGAATTAAGAAATATAATAAGCTCGCAATATAAAATAATTATTTTATATATATTTTTCGATTATAAGTTATCTTTATAATTCACAGTCTTTTACTCCAATTTTATTGTTTTTTCCATATTTCAGATATAATAAACATAAATTCAGATAGTCAAAAACAAAATAGTACGTGCAATGTATACTGTGCATATGCTATTATTCTAGGTTTATCACCCCACGATGAATTTCTATTCAATGCACGAAATTACATTTGCAAATACTTATTATTTTTGTACACGTATACAATTAATATAAAAAAATTTAAAAAGAAACTATGTGTAATATACATTGGACATATCTTCCTATTATAAAAACCCTTGAATTTAGATTTTGTTTCATTATGGTGGACTAAATCGGATTGTAATAAATCAAAATAAATTTAATACAAATTATAAATTTATGAAAAAAGAGCGCTATTTGTTAAACTTTTAAGAAAGCATATATTAAAATTACATGTTATTGGAAATATATTTATTAAGATTAAATTGAACATGTTGAAATACGTAAAGAATAATGCATCCCATTACAATATGATATTAAAATTTCATTTCGGTTCAAATTACTAATGCCTTATATTTATTTACATTGAACTATTGAATAATATTGAAGATTTTATTATAATAATAAGTCTGAACAATATTAACATTTTTAAATATAAATTTATTATTTCTCTTCACAACCTTATCATTAATCATAAAAATAAAATTCCATTTAAATTATTTTAATAATTTTTACAATAGAATATCTTTAATTGACGATTTCCAATTTTAGAAACTGTAAAAATATTTCTTACAACACTTTCTTAATTTAATGGATCAATTATATTGAACTTAATTATACAAATAATTATTTAATGATAATGAGAATAAAAAGAAACTTTTGCATCAACTTGGTAACTCGATACTTGTGGTTTTGATAGATCATATTAGCATAATATTATATATATATATATATATATATATATTACAAGCATTCATCGTTATATTAATAATATTATTTGATAGATAAACTTGATAAAAAGTAAGATTAAGGAGTTGCATGTAAAAAAAAGACTATAGTTTAGTTACAGTAAAAAGTCGAGTTATAAATGTTTAGCTTGATATCTAAACTAACTTAAATTATATCAATTTTTTGTTAATTTCTTCCAAATGTAAAAGCATACCATTTAAATGAAGTTCATTTTAATTGTTATAATGACATTTTAACTAGATTTATTTGACTAACGACCAACTGTTTCTATTTTTTACTTATTCAATTTTCACTAGTCCAAATGTAATAATATATTTTTATGTCTTGTTCAGGTCTACTCTACTTCAGTCCCTGAAAATATTTTATCTATTTGAAGTGATAAAATTATCAGACCTTGGAAAATATTTTTTTAAATGGAAATAATTCCACGGAGTACGAAACTGTAATAACATAAGAAATTAAACATAATGGCATTATGTGTTTAAAGTTGCGATTTAAAAATATAATTATATCATCGATACTTTACGCAATTATTTTATTATGATATTAAAATTCGAAAATAGAAGAATTTCGCAATTTTAAAATTGCATATGAAACTTTTCTAGTAAATTGCAAAAAATAATAAACAATTGTGTATCTTGAAAATTAAATATATCCGTGATATTCAATTTAAATAAGTGGCGAAGGTTTAATATAATCGATCCTGTCAACGTGTAAACATCAAAACTAACCCTCCACTCGAAAGCTAATCCGCTTTATATCGAAATGAATTGTGATCATTAAATTAACGAACGATTACAATGCGATAAAATATTCAAATATCTTTGAATAATCTCTCTAACAAGTAAAAAAAAGGAAGAAAAAAAGAAAACACTTTCAGATTCCGAAAGAGTCCAAATTGCTTGGTAAAGACCTCCGGCGTGCCATAAATTTTCAGTACAACATCGTAAAGCATCCCCCTAACACATAACCAAGAAAAGGGAGAGAAGTTGGTAGACAAGATGCAACAAAATGGAATGAAAAAAAATGCTTATAGTGATAAACAGCAGCTGAAATTCTGTGGTCGTATAAATTGCGCATATACACTATACATACAGAGATATTTATCGACTCGAATGTAATAATTGAAATAATCTGCGTAAATCAAGCCTAAAATTGTCGATTATTCGCGATTATTGTACTAATATTCTCCTCGTATATCTTATTGTCCTATTGAATATCCATTGAACAGTAGATGAACGAAAGTGCTAGATAAGTATATATACGTATAGCGACAAGACATTTCAATGCAACATTAATGTTTCATAATTATTGAGTAGGAAAGACAGGCTGAGCAACTCGATACGGACTTCAATTTCGATTTTAATTTAGCTGACTCGAGCGAGTAAGAACATAGTGACAAAATTGTATTCTATAAGTCAGTGGAATGCAAAGGTCGTGTGTTTCCGGGTTTCGAGAAGATCCGTGAAGAGGGTCGGTGATTAACCGAGCACTTACCTGACCAAGGGTTGCGGCAGAGGAACCCGGTTGCTGAGGCTGGTGTTGCGTAGCCGATATCGGCGTCAGCGGCGTGTGAGGAGTGTGAGGCGTGTGAGGAGTGTGTGGCGTTAGCGGTGTGTGGTACTGTTGGCTGCTGTCACCGCCGGTGCTTCTCATCTCGAGGTCGGGACTGGTCTCGTAGCCGTCGTCCCTCGCCTCCTGTTTCACCAGCACGCCTGCAACAGACGCCATCCAAGCGCGTACAGACCCTGGCTTTTACAACAACTCCAATTACCCGACCTACGACCCTAGTTAAAAGTCAGTAGAGGCTCTTTTAGCCAGTCATTCGAGACAATATTTCACTAGAGTTCAGCTTTTGGCGTTGGCTTTTTAGATTTTCTTGTATTTTCCTTTCTTTTTTTTAAATTATTTTAACTATTCTTCATTAAGAAGAAACTCACCTTTGATAATGTTACTCTGTGTAAGAAGGAGATGGACAATTGAGTAATAAGGATCTTTATTTTGTAGCTGACGAGATTCCGTACGTCGGTGAAACAATTTCTTTTTTTATTCTCGAGTGACTTTACCATTCGCTCCGTAAGCTAAATTCCATTCGACTTCAGAATCAGACCTCAAACGAAATTTCAACGATTTTAATTTAGCGAAATCTATGTTTTGCGGGCAGAATGAAGCATGGTTTAAAAAAATCAACATTTCGTTACTCGACGATACATTATATTTGATTACAAAAAAATCAAGCTATCTCGCTCAAGTTGGATAATTGTATATGAATTATAAATTTTATTATCTATATTTAAACTATTAGAATAAGAGGCTTTCAGGACAAATTCATATGTTAATTATTTTCAAATAATGATCATATATGTACCTAATTATAAATAATTGATAATTGATATTGGTAATGTTTATATTTTTTATACTGTGCTTCTGCTTGTTGCCATTGTGCTTGGTGCCAATTATTCTAATTTTTAAAAACATATTTTATATACACAGTAAATGAATAAAATATATTGCATAATATTAATCAATAATCTATATATTCTAAAATTACAATAATAATTAATTGTATTTTTAACACTTCAACTAAATTTTAATTTTATTTCGATCATCATAATTAAAACGAAGAAGACAAAATTACTGAATAAATATGAATTAATAAGTTATTAATAATTTAATTGTTTAAAATTATTATTTCATATGTAAAGTTAATCAGATGTCACAAAATGTATTTCGAAAAAAAATTTGTTTACCTGAGCAGTTCATTGTTGCACCATTTGGAACCCCATTTGTCACTGGCGATGGATAAGACCTAAAATAAAAAAAAACCATTTTATTACAATACATATAAGAAATTTATTAAATGATATGTCGCAAATACTTATAATAACTATCGATATACACATATATAAATGAAGAAACCAATTTATCGTTCAAATTGTATAATTATAAAAATTCGTAAATTTTAATCAAAATAATAATTAATTAAATTATTTTAATTGTAGATTTATTATTTGGTCAAATATTTTTGTTGAAAATTAATATAATTTATACTCAATTATTAAATACACATTTACATTAATAACATATATATATATACATATATTGATGATATATACATCATTATATGCAATGAAATTATATCATTTTTTTATACTTGTTATAAAAATAATAATAAAAGTTATATTTTTATTGCACTTGAATGTTAATATAAATTTGGAATTTTAAAAGTAAACAAAAAAAATATTATAACTTTAATTTATACTTTTTAATTATTTAAGCGTTTTTATTTAATGTTAATTTATGATTAATAAATACAAAAAAATTTCTAATAAAAACTAATATCCGTAAAAATGAAGAATATGTACACCTTATGTATACGAAAATAAATTAAAAGAGTTATTTATATTTTCTCAATCACTACTGATAATTAATTATTGAGAATTTCTACCATGAGACAATGAATTTTATCTATTTTTGGATAAATTTTACGATTATGAAGTATTTACTAAATAGCGAATAACATAATTATATCCAGATGTGTATTTGATAGCTACTATAAGTTTTAGTTTAAATAAATAATGAAATATGTATAAAAAAGGGTTCAGAAGAAAAATTTTATATAAAAAGTGGTTATCAAAAAAGTTTTTAAAATTGTTAAAATGTGTCTAATAATGGAAAAAGGCTTTCTATATGTTAAAGAAGACTTTTGCAGGCATTGCCATTATTTGAAAATTATGTAAATTTTGTTTAACTTAAATAACACACATAAATTAAATGTTTCGAATTTGCCTTTCTTTTCTAAATATAAATACATAAATATATATAAATAAATATATATAAAAACTAAATATGCAATTAAAAATTATTTTAATAATTTTACTATGTATCGTAAATACTATATTCATTCAATTCCGTATAATGTAAAAAAATCTCTTAAAAGATATTAACAAATTATACCTGCATTTATACTTTCGTGCTTAATTTCTTTGTTTGATTTGGAAAATAAATAAAAGCTATATATGAAGATGGTAATGAGAATATCAGATTAGAATGCACAGTTGAGTAGGTGTAAGCATCGTGTACACTTTTAAATTAAACGATAAAACTATTAGCTAATATTTCGGGATCAGGTTGTATTGTAGATTTGTATAAAATTTATGTATGGTATTATGGCACATTATAATTCATTTACAATAGTTTTGAAAATCATTATAAAACTTAAATTCTTATCGTTTATTTAATTTCACTCCTAATTTCACTCACTAATTTAATAATATTCTATTCCAAAGACATTTCCAAGGCCCTATTCTAAGCTCAGGAATGTTTTAGCTTAACGAAATATTTCTTTCAATGAAACTCAAGACCAATCTGTTTAAAATAAAATATATACATAAACGTAAAAGAACAAACGATAAAAGAGTTAAAGCCCTTCGTCTGGACGACCCAGTAATCCCCGTGCTGGTACGAATATAAATGGGCGCGTACGTGTATAAAACTCACTTAGTCATAGTTAATCTTTAATTACACGCATGCAGGCGGATGCAGGTTTGCGTGCACGTGGATGAGAGCGGCCGTGGGAGGGCGCGCGCATGTGTGGGATCGTTTTGATTTAGAGACGAGCCGGTACGGTGCGTATGTTAATTGGAATTTCCTATTACCGCAATCTGATTGGGGAGAAGAGAAGAGGTTTTCGGGACCCGTGCCACAGTCTGCCTGAGCATTAACGCTCGATAGCGCCAAACTCCTTAATAGACTCTGCAATTCGATTTAGCCTAAGGACGCTATTCCTATATCCTTTCGGCACCGTCTCACTCAGCTGTACCAGCAGGGCGACAGGTTCCTTCACTCCTTCGATCGTTATTGCATACGAATTTATCACCTCGTGATGCGATGAGTGATCCACTTGACCGAATTTGCTCTGCATCCCACGCAATAATGCATAATTGTATTTCAACGCTGGCTTAACGATCGAACCATCTAGATCTATGAAGAGAATAAGCTCGACTCGACTTTGGAGCGCATTCGGATAAATAAAAAGAGCGATTCTTGAAACAGCCGCTTGAAACACTGATTGAGGAAATTAGATTTGACGAGTTCAATGAGAAAGTGTTCGGGACAGCAATCACTCGTGAAGAAGCTGAAGCATTTTTTGTAGTTTCATTTACGAACAAACATATGGAAATGTTAAATGTGAACATTGATACATATACGCAGTTTAAATTACACAATGCCATCTGTTTATGCGGACTTAATGGTTTCTACTGGGGTTGTAATATTTTTTTCAGCAACAAAATATACAATATACGGATTGTACATTTTTAAGAGGTAAAACGATGATATGAGTTAGGGTTGAAAATTAAAACAAAGAAATATTTATGTATTTAAATACGTGATTTATTAAATTTCATTTTTATAAATAATATAATTTTACATAGATCATATTCTCCTTTATAAGTGAATTTTATATTTTATATTTAAGGTAATATTATCACATTATGCCAATGAAAAAGACTATTTTCTATATTTTTTTGTTGCATAAAATGATCGAAGAAATAAATAAATATTTAAATACCAATTATATGTATTAACCATTTTTATCATAAATCACGTCAATCATTTTATATTAGTTTTATCTTAATTTGTCAGTTATGTATTAAATAAGATAGATTTGATTAATAATAATAATGATAACATATTTAATATAATTTACAATTACAGCGTTTTAGTACTATGGATTCAATATTTACGGTAGTATTTTTAAGACTCGTGAATTTCTTATAATTATTAACTTATACTAATCAAATAATTTCTGAAAATATTGTAAACTATATTCTTGATTTATTAATTAGTAAATAATAAAGAATTATATAGAACGTATATTTAATCTGGATACCTCAGTGGTATGTAGATAAAAATAATTTAAAAAAAAAACGTATATTGACAAGTATTCAATATTATTTATAGTAGCAAATTCACTTTACAAGTATGAGTTTTAATATAATACAATTACTTTTACATAATTATTATTATGATATCAAAGTAATAAAATTAAAATAAAAAATTAATTCTCAGAATTTGTGTGCACTGCAATTTTTATAAAAATAAAATATATAATGAAATTACTGTTACAGTATGATAAATATAAAGGTAATAAAACACTAAAACGTTTATACAAAAAGACTACAAATATTTATCGCTATAAAATAATATGACATTTTTAAATATTAACTGTTTATATAATTTATTAAATTAACGATCTCTTTACTGTAAATGTAAATAAGTAATTCGTTTGAATACAAGGATGCAACAGGTTTACAAGAGAATAGAAACAAAATATATGTTTCATTTCCACTTATATTTTGCGCGGTTAAATTAATCACAAATGATTTAAACCTTTCGTTGTTGTTTAACTTTGCCTTTTTCATATATAGTTCCACTAAATTAGCGAATTTTTCTACTGTATTATTTAATTATGCAATTTTCCTAACGAGTAGAAGAATAAGCATTTTGATTCATGGTCATTCATTTTTCACAACATTCACAACATTCCTATAGTATGTTTTATTAATACAATTAAATTATTTTATTAAATGTAAAAATTTGGATCTTTGCCTAATAGTTCATATTATATAGTTATTATACAACAAAATGTAAAACAATTTTATAGATGCATATTATATGCGCAAAAATAAAATATGTTAATATTAAAAAGTTTAGAATAGCAAGCATATAAATTATACATTTCATATACTTTATAAAATATTATTCAATATAATATATAATAATTCAAAATAATAAACATACTATATACAATTGAAAATAGTATTCTACTTCTTTAAAATAATATCCACACATGTTTTTGTTAGTTATTACATACCGTCAGAAAATAAAATTACATTAAACTATATTTGATAATTTGAGTATCATTCGATATTAAATATGATAATGTATCCTCTAAAATTGTTCGAAAACAAACTTGTTAACTATGATTTCTATTAATGAAACTATTATACATGGAGCTGAAGATTAAAATGTTCTTAAATATGATTAACAATATTCTAATATATAATTTACATATATGGAAAATTTTATTAAGTAAACTATTTAAGTTTGATTCATAATTGTATTATCAATAGGTTTTATTTTTTATAGTTTTTATAGTAAGCTTTACATTATTTTATGTTTCTTCAGATAGTATAGAATAAATATATAATAAATTGTATACATTGAATTCTCTATCAAAATATTACAAATCAATTCAACGACAGTGTTGATAGCTCGTTACTTTAAACATTAATTTCTTTTTCCACGCATTAAAAAAAAATTTAATTATTTCATGTTACATTTAACATTAAAACGTTTCATTTTATTCACTTTATTAATTGAATATATATATATATATACACACATATATTATAAGTATTTTTGTTATTTTTTTACAATATTATTTGTACAGAAAATTTATTTTCCACAAAATTTTTAGATTTTTGTTATTATTATTGATAGTAAATCCTGAAGTTTTTACTTCTAACACTTATTTAAAAGTAAGTAATATATTAATTTTTACTGAAATTCAACCTTAATAATTTGCAGTATTTCTAGTAATAATATTGATTGTATTAAACATAGGAATTTATCAAAAATATATAATCATTATAAATAAAGAATGAATACAATGTTTTTACTTACTAAAAATTAAAACAAATTGAGTAAATATTTTATAATTTATAAATTCAATATTATACAGTGATGGATATAAAGTATAATATATACTTATTCGAACAAATATTGTTTAAATCACTAGAATAG